AAGTTCCATAGTATTTGAATACTTATTTTGTGAGATATGAAGAAAATAGCACGTGGATGTATATAAGCTAGGATTTAAAGGTGATGTTAGGATTTTCGTGATACTTCAAGATCTCTAACGAATTTGCATTTGAATTTTTTTTGTGATAGTTTTTGAAAGTATATCAGTACTTCATGTAAAATTTAGGATTTTTTTGATAGTCCGATCGTGAGATATGAGCTGTTGAAGTTTGAAAAATATTTTTCATAAGGATATATAAGGTTTTAAGATACTTGAATGTGCTTGATTTTTGAATAATTCTTCGGATTCTTATAAAGCATCTTATAAAGTGATATAAGAAAGAAGATTGAAATGGGAGTAATTGACATGAAGTATTGTGCAATAAAAGACATGCTTGCTGATTTATTGACAAAGATATTAGTTAAGGATAGACATCATATGTTGAGAAAGATATTATGATTAAAAGTCTTTAATCAATAAAAAAATGAGGGTTTAAAAATAAATAAGTAAAAATAAAAATAGAATAAATTATCTTTTAAAAGATATTATTTTAAGTAAATTGCTAATGGTCAAAAAATTGGCTCTTGATATATAAAAAATCCAAGAGATAAAATAAATGAATGAATAAAGATTCTTAAGAATGTAAAAGATATACTTAAGGCATATCTTTATAATAGATAAGATATCAATAACTAGTCTCGATAGAATCTTGGATGGATATATTCATCAAATGGTGGAAGTCGTCTATTGGGATAGCAACTACCACCTTTAAGTATTAGATGTTAGAGTTATCTTATTCCATATTTTCTTTGTGTACAATCTTATTGATACTATGTGTTGTAACTTCAAAGTTCTCTTTATTTAATAATATATGTATATATATTATAATGGTGTATAAAATCCTATTTTAAAAATAATTTTATTTTTAAAGATGTAATTAAAAAAACTTAAAATTGGTAAAAAAACAAATTATATTAACTTTTGATTATTTATCTTTTTTTCTTCTAACAACCAATATTTAAAATATTAAAATATTAAATAAGTTTTTAATAATATTTTTTATAAATTTATCAATTTATAAATATTTTAATCTTAAATTAAATTTATTTTAATTTAATTTTAGGATTTTAATTTAGAATATTTCTAAAAAAATACTATTATTTTAGATTATTTAATTAAAAATATATGTTTTTTAAAATAAAAAATATAATAAATTATATAATTTATTTTAATATATATATATATAAAGATTTTATCATAAAAAGTAAACATAAATCATCTAATCAGATTGAGCATAAACATTGTTAAAAAATAAAAAATAAATAACATTATATAAATATGATAATTTTATAAAAAAAATAATACTTTTTTAAGAAATATAAAAAGATTACAATCATTTATAAAAATATCAAAAAAATATTATTTAAAATTCTATAAATTAATAGTAATATTTTAAAAGTTATATACATATATATATATGTCAAAATATTTTTTTATAAATAAAATTAAAATTTGTACTATTTAATGAAATTTTATGTAAATTTATCACCTTTTATTTTATTAAATTTCTAACTTTATATGTAATAATTTTTAAATCGATTTAAATTGAAATTATATTTATTTAAAATAAGTTAATAATGTCATTAAAAATTCAATGATATTTTTTTTTATTTCTGAAAATATTTGTAGAATATTGATGTTAATGGATTAAATTTCAAAATATGTTTGTTATAAACCTATAAATATTTAATAATAAACTTAAACCAAGTGATTCTTTTTCAAACAAAGTTATTCAACTCAAACATTTGAAATAAAATTTATTAAATAGATATTTTATGGATTAACTATATTTTAATTTTTATTAATTTTTAAAAAATAAAAAACTTATTAATTAATATTATAGATGAATTTTTTGTAAATTTTTAATCTATATATTAAAAAAATTAAATACTTTTTGTAAAAAAATTATATATATATATATATATATGTATTAAAAATTATTTTATATCAATGTATACTTTATTAAAAAAATTCAAATTTTCTAATTGGTTATATAAAAAATGCAAGGATTTCATAAAGCAAGTCGGTGATGTAATAGAAGAATATCTATTTACAAAATCAATAAGAAAAAAAATATATCATTTGTAATTGAAAATAAATAAAGATAATAGAACTAATCTTCAAGACTAGATATCACAACTAAAACTATTTAAAGTCACATAAAATATTAAAGAATTTAATCTATTTAATAAAAAATTAATCTAATTTATTTTAAAATTTCTAATATAGTTCTTGTAACAAATTATATTATACTATCTATTTAGATTTAAGAAGTAAAATTTACAACATTAAATCTACAAAAAATTGTTATTTATAGTTTCATTCAAATTATTTCTTGTATTTTGATAAATTTCAAAAAATTACTTGTGAGTCATTAAATTTTCTCACTAGTTGTTTTAGAATAAAAAAATATATTTTAAGTGCCAAATTGCAATTAATAGATGAAGGTTAGTTTAGGAGATTTTGAATGAAGAAAAATCAGTATTGATGTAAGAAATTTTTAATTATAATAACTTAGAAGATATGTTAGCCTTAAAGGCTTAAAATTAAATTTCTTCTCATAAGAGAATGACTACATTGGTATTAATTTTTAGTTTATAATTATTTTATTTGTTTCTATTAATTCTTTTTCTATTTCATTTTTTTTTCATTCTTCTATTAGATAGGTTCAAGCTTGTATTCTCAAAAGAGAATAATGATTTTTAGCATTCTCCTAACTTCTTAGAATTACTAGAATCTCTAAAAATTTGTAGAATCATAATTTCTTGAAGTCTAAGATCCTTTAGAAAATTTCAAGTTCAATTGGTGGTACAACTTTAAAAAAAATCTTTGATGAATTTATAATACTACTTGGTGACTAACTCATGACATTTAAATAGTCAATTAGCTTTAGGTCATAATTCTTTAAAACTGAAAATCCTTATAAATCATGTTTAGATTTAGAGGGCCTTTTGAATCATAGATTTTCATGAGGTTTATGGAATCTCAATGGTGGAGATGTTTCTGCTATTTTTAGGGCCTCAAATACCTGTATAATAGGTTTGAGTGGCCAAGCCCTCTCATTTACTCTTCCTTTTGTTGATAGGTGAAGCTATGCCATTTTCTCCTAGGTTATGTAAGTAGCTTGGTTGTTTTAATTTTTTTCTTTGTTAGTTTTTAGAATCAATTTTAAAATTTGAAGAAAAAGTAGTAATTTTTGTTGCACTTCTTTAGACATAAAAATCTTAGAATTTGGAGGTTATAAGAAAAAGAAACCTCTAATTTCGTGAAGGGTGGTATTTTGCCTTCATAGTTAAGTAGCTCCATTTAAAAAGGCTCTTCTTCATTGCTTACTAACTGCAAAGCAAAAAAAAAAAAAAAAAATTTAGAGATTTGATGAAGTGTAGTTTTTAAAAAGTTAAGAATCAATCATATTGAAGCTAGGATATGGTAGGAGTGTTGATTCTTATGGCAGAGGATCTGCTACCTCCAAGTTTAAGTGGTTGAATAAAGGCACGACTTTAGAAGACAAAATCAAGGAAATCGAGGTAATCTAAAGGCTCAAATTTAACAAAGAGATGCTCTTGTAAGATAAAAATCCAATAAGATTAGATTTACTAAAAAAAAATCAAGGACCCAATTGTGGCACTTAATTTTGTGGAAAAGGATCTATTGCCTTACCAAATTGAAGCATCAACTTTGAGGGGTGATATGAGAGTCTTACAACCAAATTTGAAGGCCAAATTTGTAGGTAGATGTGCCTTAAAGTCTTCTTTCTAATAAGATTAGTTCGATTCAATTTGAAGCTTACAATCAACTATTGTATATTAAATTGTGAAGGTGGATGCAACAATTAGTTTAGAAGTTCCAACCACCTTTGATTCTTACTTTGACAATGGTGTAAGTTAACTATTATGGATGGATCATTTAGATGGAAATTGACAATGAAATTGAATATCATTGGATGAAAGATTATATAGATGAAGTTAGGTCAAATTGGATGAATTTTAGTAAATAAATTATTTTTTTAAATGAATGAATTTTTATTTGCAGATAAAAAATCATTCTTGAATGAAAATTCATTTATGGATGAGAAATTTTTCTTGGATAAAGTTTTATATTGGGATGATAATTAATATTGGAAAATTTTAAATAAAAATTATATAATTTTTTTTTTCAAGTATGTATGGTGGTGTTGTGAATATGAAAGTATGTCATATGATCAATTAGGAAGCTTAATGATTTTTAAGTAAGAAATAAGAGGGTTTTTTTTGCTAAATAATTTACAAGTAAGTAGTGTTTTTTTCTTTGTAATACTTCATGTTGTTATTTTCATCACCTTTGATTGTTCTAAATAGAACCACATTCCTTGTTATTGTTACGTTTACCTTATATAAAGTGATAATAGATTTTTTAGTCTAGTTTTATTATTATTTAATTATACATTGGCAATAGACTTTCTTTATTGATTTTCTATCCTTATTGCTACTCTTCATATTTTTTTTGTCTTTTAAATTGATGTTGTTGGTTTTAGAATGATTTTTAATATATATATATATCCATACATATACATATGTTTGTATAACTTATAATTAGTATCACTTTTATTAATTTTAATTATTAATATTTATTCTTGAATGTTTTTATGCTTTTAAATTGCAATTTTTCTTATCAATTTTAAGTATCATTTTAACATGTTTTTTCTTTAAATCTTTTATTTGTTTTTTCTTTTAATTGTGGGTTTAAAATTTTATTTTATACTTAGATTCTACTTTTTCTAGACTTAATTAAATAAAAAAAGATAAAGCAATGTTACTTGTTAAAAATAATTTTATATTTAATGCATAATTTATTGAATACAAATAAGTTATTTATTTATTTACATATGTATCAAATCTCTTTTTATACTTAATTTGTAATAATCATCAACATCACCATTCAAACAAATACTTCATGAATTGTACCAAAAAAATAAACTCTAAATGCATTACTACCTCTTTCCAATTTTGTGCATTAAAAATCTATTGAAATTGTGAATGTGGCTCTTTGATAAAATCTATTCTTCTCCTAAATTGATTGGGATCATCATTCTATTTAAATATTGAGGGATATTAGTGAATCTTCTTTCTCTACTATTGTTTACTCTTTCTTGTAAACTTCTCCAATAAGTAGCAATTAGATTTTGCAAAAACAATATCCAACTCACACTCTTAAAGGCAAAAACGCAAAAACTTACTACACATCTACTCCCGGATCTTCTTTAACTGTAACCAGATTTCTCCATTCCGTTGCTCCAGGACGTCTATGGCTCCCCAGTACTTGGTCGCCTCTTCTTGGACCCACAGATTCTAGAATTCAGAATGTGTAAGTTAACAATGTTATTGATGATTCACATTCACTTCTGTCCTAGCATGCTGTAAAATTGGGAGAAGCGATAGTTTATTGTATGCTATCTTGTATCTGCAACTCAGGTATATGCCAACTTCATCATACCCTCAAATGCACACTTTTCAATAATTCCGGATTCTCTAACAATTTGATGTCAAGATGAAAACGCTCAACGGTACTCCTGACGATAGAATTTCTTTTTCCACATTTGTTCAAGTCCTGTTCTGAGAAGTCATCGTTGGCACGATAGGCCGGTGTACAGGATGTGTTAGTTTTTACTCTCCAGCTTTACACATGCTCTTCGTGACCAAAGTAGAGTAGGCTCCTTTGTTATACATTACTCTCTGGCCCACGGCAAGTCGCCAGTAGGTTTGGGAACCACAGTCGTTTCTATGTCAAACTGTTCAAGAAAAGTTGATAACAAATTACTCCCCAGCTTCTCCTGCACAGTGAGCTGCGTGATCCTTCTGGCAGCCGAAACCCAATCAACTTGAGGCCGGTCAAATGTCCCATGAATTGGGATCTGCCACAACACAACCATTCAACTTGTACTAAATCTCGGCTTGCAAGCTTTAGAGGATGGAAAGACGTCCATGGCCATTCGGACACCATTGCCAATACAAGCAAGCAGCTAAGCTCAACAACATGACTATTCAAGGTAATTTCAAGGAAGCTCTGTTTGAGATGTTCTAACGACAAAGTTCTCAACGATTGCACACCCGAAAACTCCAGTTTCCAACAAGAAAACAAGAGTTTAGCTGTTGGCTGTTATTTTTGAAGTGATAAGGACTATGTGCCGATGAACACTGACAGTGCTACGGAACAGTATCAGTCCAAAACAGTGGTCAAACTTGACAATTTGCAAGAAACTACCTGCAGATGGTAATCAGGAGTAATCATGGTGAGACCCACAAAGTCCCTTAGCGACTTTCCAGGAATCGCAAGTGTCATCTTCATGGTCTCATGTACATGGTCCATTTGCCCCCACGTTGCCACATGAATCTTATCTGCACGCAGCACAATCTTTGCGTTAGCACCAGGCTCTCATATGGAACCTACCACGAATGTTGCTAACTTACCTGACCATGTACATTCTGGGAAACAAGCTCTGAAATAGACCAAAATATCCTTCTAAATCACTCATAGCACACATGCACTTTATCAAAGTAAACACTGTTTCGAAGTTGTCATAAATTATTGTGATCATTCCTATTGTATCGAAGAGTGGGATATCGTCATAAATTTCGGGAAGAAACTGGAACTTCGAAAGAATAATTAAAGACGGGGACTGCTGAAATGCAACATAACAGGTAAGATTATGACACTGTCACTCAATCGTTATTCTCCCCGTTCCTGCTCAAAAGTTATCGCTCAATTATAACTGACGCTGTAAAGCAGGAAATTGAACTTGAAAATGGAAACCACTGCTAAGAGCTTGCGACATCTAAAAGATGCTAGCACCAGGCACAAACCCGCTATTAGAAGATCCACTCGAGAGCAAGTAAGTTTGCCTCCCACGTGAACGTTTGCCTCAATAGCTGAGGTCTGCATCATAATTTTTCAATCTCCCTTCTCTAAATCTCCTCGAGTCAGCAACGATAACAAGTCATGCAACAGTGGCCCTTTCGCTAAAACCTGCATTCACCAAGCGTACAGGTAGAATTTGATTGCAGTCATGATGCACAAATAAAAACCCGTTGACTATTGGCTCATAACTACTCTGTGCAGTACGTGTGAGCTATCATTGTCAAGACCTTTCATTGCGGTTGAAGAAATACACACTTACCACTTTCATCGGCTCGATACGAATCAAATACTCCGTCGTAGGCCACATCATGTCAGTAGGCTTCAAACTCATACTTACATCGGGCAGATCCTCTCGTCCAAAAGAGGGTCCGACAATCTGACCCAATATTGGATTGATCTGAGCCAAGTAAAACTTTGCGAGAGCTGGTGACAAATCCATCTGTATAAGTCCACCAGACATAGCTTGAATTTCTTCATACGCATGGAAGGAAACACCCTTCAACCTCAGTGTCAAATGAATAAAAACATATATACGTTCAAGGAAGTCTTTGCAAAACCAGTCTTTATGCATGGACGAGGTCCCACTGATTTGATCTCATCCTCATCGAAATCAACAGAATATGTTAGCTGCACAATTCTACTTGCCTAAATAGGAATTAAAGAGTTGTAAACAGTTCACAATTTTAAGACAAAGTAATGTACTACTGACCTTCGAATAGTGTCTGCATTCAACATTACTTCATACATGAGAGATTCTACTCCAAAATTTGTTCGCTAAAACAGAAAAATTACGAATATACATAAAATGCCACCTGACCTCCGCTAGTATGGGTTGAAGAAGCTCCATTCTCTTCCTTCTCAAATTCAGATATGCCAGTGCTTCCAAGTGTGCACAATTTGAACACAAGGAGCAGCGTATGGGTGTGCGGCCAGAAAGTTCTCCATTTGCCTTCCATAGAGATGGATTCATTTCAGTTGCGTAGCTCCCAAACGCGATATCAAAGTAGAGATGAGCTCCAAGAACTGCGGCTAAATCTCCAGGTAAGATGACCTTGCCATTGAGTACCTCAAGGCCTCCTTCTGGAGCTCGCATTTTTGCAGTCCATGACACGACTTCAGAAGGGAGAACTTTAAACTTTTTCTTTACGTAAGGATTGCTGACGTTAAGTTTATCGACGGACGTCACAGCAAGGTCATAGTATGGATGACCCGATTCTGGATCGTTTCGCATATCAAGTGTAGGTTGGAGCACCACAGCATCTCCTGTGATATACCATCATCCAGAGTCAGAGAGATATATCACTTAATAGCACCAGTGACTATTCCTCTACTGCATTGATCGCGAACGAAAAGGAAACAATATTCACAACTCGTACCTAACCCTGCTCTGCCGACAACCAAAGTCCACAGATGCGCATTAGTCTTGTACTCAGGAATCAACAAAACGGCACTTGAGTTGGGCCCTTTAAGGATGACACCTTCTATGTGAATTGGTTTATTCCATCCAAGCGAGACGGATTCCACTGACAGCGTGCCTGCACATCATGACGCATATGGCATGGAATTAACACCAACCACCTGTGAGTAGCACTAACTCTTCAGACCCATCCTACGTAAAAAGTATCCACAGAAGGCGAGAGAAGCTGAACAATAATGGCAACTAATAATCCTCGTGATGCGATAGGTCCGTCAAATAGCTGAAGCTAGCAGCACCAACAGTATCATGACTGAAAGCCGGTCGGATAGATTGATGCATTACAGACCGTATCTTGCCATGACTATGGTTAACTTTGTTGCTCTAGATCACATCATAGAATCCTCTATTGGAATCAGGAAAGCAAACATAAATTGAAGGAATGCCGTGGAATTCAAGTAAGAACTGAGAGTAGTATGCATAAAAAAGATCTGAAAACTGATCACATAGTTTCGTTGAGTTGGAGAATTACAAATGAATACCTGGAATACTAGAGTTGATTACAAACAAGAGAGTATGAAGACCAAATGGCCGAGAGATAAGGTAAGGAGCGCCGGCAACAGCCGCGCCTGTGATTGCCACAACTCCACCAACGAACTTCATCAGCCCTCGGAGAACTCTGCTGAAGAACCCAGAAGAGGCAACTCCCGAACTTCCACTTCGACTTTTTCTATTCGAAGCTCTGTACCGTTTCTTCTGGATTTCTTCTGCATAGGGTCGAGCGGTGAAGGGAAACAGCGGAGGCACTGTGTTCTGCTGCGATTTATGACGCAAAAACTCGTTCCGGTAAGCTTCGTCATAGTATCGCACCCATTGTCTCTGCAGAGCAAGAAGAATCAATTCGCTTCAAAACCACGATAAATTACAGGGCAGACTCTACTAACTACATTCCGACCTAAACCAACATTAACCACAGAGGTGGTGCTCGATTAACCCACCTGGAAACAACCCCCATGCGTCGAACGATTCCGCAAACCCTCCACAAACCCCCAAGTCCAAGACTCATTTGCCCTGCATTGCGAAAACCCATGTGCGGGTCGTTACGGTAGTAAAGAAACAGCAAAACGATGCAGAATTCGTTGTGCAAAGAGCTGCAATCAATGCACTAGCACCCACTTCAACTGATGTGCAGCAGGTCTACTATACAAACACCGCGACAGCAGTCCAGTCCATTGCAACCCTCTTCTTCTCATGTTGGAAATCTCGTCACTGAGACCTCTCCTATTCTCGACGAAGAAGAGAGTGCAAATTATTTACATAATGTTGTTAATTTTAATAATGACCCATTTTGAAGCAAGTAAGTAAACAAACCCCAATGAGAATGAATGGCATTAGATGGTGCCGAGGGGTGATTTGGCAGCAAGAGGGTTCAGGTTTTAAGGTAGGGATCACCATCGGTGAGCACGTGGATCGGTCTTTACGGAGACACCACTGCCACCACCGTCGCCGAAGTTTCGTACGACCCACGTCATCTCCACACTTGTGACACACTTCATCACGCTCCTGTCGTCGCTTCGACAGCAATTCGTGAGGCATCCTGCCGATTGGATCGTTTCGGATCAAGGTTGTCTACTTTAGGAGCTCCGTGGTTTCGATTGCGTTGACGTTTGGTGAAGCTCACGGGGTGCTTCAGACCCTCCGGTATGATTCGAAGACAATCAATTACCCCATCTTTCATGTGACCTTTGCTGCCGCTAGGGTTTTCGTTCTACGGGTGAGGCAGATAGACTATATCGATGTTGATAATGTCTTAGTTTACTTGCGTAGTTACTGAGCCTCTGATCCTTTCGATTTGATTGGAGCGGCGTGTTTGTAGTTTTCGTGAGAAGGTGAACGATTGTATTCTGTTTTCTTTTTTTCTTTTCTTTTCTTTTCTTTTCTTTTCAATCTTACTACGATTTTTGGGTTTGGATTAAGGGATAGGGGGTGTGGCGAGATTGAAAGAACAGGTTCGTGGAAATAATTTAGAAACTGAGGATTTCTGGGTACAGAGTTCAAGTAGGAGTTGACGGTCCCGTGAAGGTGAACCGGTTGATTGGTGATGGTTGATTGCAGATGAGCTGAATTGCGCACGATACGGACGTGGTTTTGAAAAGGACTAGGACCTGCGGCGGGGTTGCGAGAAATGTGTGTGTATATGCTGAAGCTCTCGGAGATGTCTTAGACGATCGGACAGCAGACCAGGAAGAGTATCATATTGCCCCTCCCCGCATCTAGTTAGTGGGGTGGCTCATGTTGTGGAAAAGAATAGGGGATTGTGGCGAACGAAGTAGGTCTATTGGACAGGAAATATGGTAGTGGAGGCAGCAGAGGATCGAGGGGGTGGAAGGATGAGGTCCGGTGCTCCGCTGCAGATCAAGCTTGTACTATTGGGCGACGGGCGTGTAGGAAAGACGTCTCTTACTCTGCGATATGTTAACAATATATTCTCTGAGAAGCAAACGGCTACGATTCAGGCCTCTTATTTGACAAAGCGCCTCGTTGTAGATGGGCAAGCTGTCAATCTTTGCATTTGGGACACAGCTGGTCAGGAGCGATTCCATGCACTTGGTCCTATCTACTACCGTGATGCTGATGCGGCGCTGTTGGTGTACGACTTGCTGGACAAAGACAGTTTCGATCGCGTTCAAAGCTGGGTGCGAGAGCTGAAAAAAATGGCTTCTAAAAAGATCGTATTGGCCATCGCTGGAAACAAAAGTGACATGGATAAGTTGCGCCAGGTGAACATGGAAGATTCCGTGAAGTACGCGGAGTTAATAGGGGCAAAACATTTTGTGACCTCTGCCAAACTTAACACTGGAATTGAGGAGGCTTTTATGGACATAGCTCGTCGCGTTACACAACAAAGATTGGCTGAGGACCCCGAGAGTCTTGCTGGTGGTTCGCGACGAAAGAGCGTGGTTATCATTGACAAGCTACCTCAAGAAACAACCTCACCCACTTCTAGATGCTGCTCTTGATTGTCGACCTGTAAATAATTTAGGTTTTCACGTTTTTACCTGGCCATTGTGTTGCAATCTTTTTGTATGCAGTCACATTCTTTACCATCACTTTGACGATGGCATAGTGCTCTGATGTCTTATTGATCAGAAAGTTTTTGACATTATCCCATTTCGCTACATGCAGGCCACTGCACTTATTCATGAGATATGGGTTTTCAAGGTCAGTGCATTCATAAGCATATGTAACTACCTTTGAAAGCCGTTGACTTTATTGAGTGATATCCCTGTGCCAAGGGCTTGGAGAAAGACATAAGAATTACAAATTGGCGATTCTCCGCTCTCTTTGTATTTGATTTTGCTCCCGTAAATTACATATTGCCAAACAGTTTCTTGAATCAGAGGGCAATGTGAATGAGATAAGCGCACTGCAATGATTATGTTGTGTGTGTTACTTCTTGGAATGTATGAATCAAGACCTGTGCGCTCCAGTAAGGGTCACGTTATGAAATGATTGGCAATTTGTAGCAGTTGTTGTGATCTTCTTCCGATTCAGATGTTTGCCTTGACTTTTACAACTTACGGAGATATAAGCTCTTTCAAGCTACGCTGGAAAATTTTGTTGCGTAGTAACTGAATCAATTTTTTGTTGAGTTTGGATTTCAGCACCTAAGAAGTGACTGCTATATTGTGGATGATGTGCTTAATTACTTGTCCTTGTTGAGTTAGTGGGCTTTAAGGGCCTGTGTTTGCTTGAAGCACCTTTTTGATATCGAATTCCTGTGTGTGCAGATCCATCACACTAATTGCTGTTCAACAGTTTATTTAGTGTTGAGGGACGACATGAGTTGGTTTTTGAGGGATGCAAAGAGATTGTTCTTGATTATTATTTATTTATTTATGTTTTAATCTTACTTTTAAATCTTCTGCCTTGTTCACTTCCCTTATTCCTCTGAAATTTTTTAGTTTTCGTAAGAAGGAGCAGTCACAGTTCCAGAACTGGAGTGAAGAAAGGACAGCAGAAATGATTCGCGATTCTCCAGATAGTAGAATGTTTCGCATGCCTTTACCCTAAACCTGACATTATACATCCTTCGGTACAACCAATGCTTAGTCGACCATTTATTTTTACGTACTTGATCCAATTTGAGACAATGTGATAATAAATGTAATGCAAATCTTACGACGAAAGCCGTGTTACACCGTCAATTCGTCAGTTGTGGAGAACTCAATAGTCCATAATTAGGACTGGTAGAGCAATCACTCTTGTAAGGCCGCTCTTTTTGGACAGTTAATGCAAGGCGTATGTGGGGATTCTACACTTGCTCCACTTTTAGGGGGCAGGCATCAGAAATTGACGTGTTCTTCATGAGGTCCCCCCCAGGATAGAAATATGGATGACCTTCATGATCAAGTATAAAGACTCGTGCAGACTTGGGTTGCGCCAAGAACTCTGCCCATCTTAAACATGTTCCATCCAACATATTATTCGACTTCTTTGTATTGTGGAGTGGATTTGGCAACGATGATTTAGGTGAAGTTCATTCAGGAGGGGTGGAGAAAGATATCGAGGGAACAAAAGAAAGAGGGAATGAAAGAGCGCATCCTTTGCAACTGCAAGTGAAGGTAGTTGCCAGCTGAATCCCACACATCTTACCCCTCCTCTCGTCTCGGTGATATGGACCAGAGCTCGGCCGTAGTCACAATTAGGGCAAGTTTCACAGTCAACTTCAGTCTGCGTGTAACTTCTTCTTGACCTGCACTAGCTTCTTGTCGATGAGATATTTAGTCCACATCATTTTGCAGGAAATTGTTGAAGTTAGGAGTGAGAGTGATGATCTGTTGAGGGGGTTATCAATAATGATGAAGCTTCTTGTTACGACGGTGGAGTGGGTAGCCATTCCTAATTAAATGTCGACATGGTGGCAGGTTGGGTTGCAGAATGTGGATTGCAGTGAGCTTCGGAATGAAGCTTGAGGGCAGAAGCAGGAGATAGGTTGTAGTAGCCAGGTTTCTGTTCTGAGCGGTTTGTCAAACTAACTAGAATGGGTGTATTGGTATCATAACCTTCATAGCGACCAGGATCGGCTAGGGTTTTGTTGGAATTATGTTCAGCGAATACGAAATTCAGTGTTGCTATTGCTAAACTCATTGGAGAATCTGCAGGCTGTGTTCATTCGGTAAAGGACACAACGTGAGTTGCAGATACTAGATTAGGATTTCTAAGTCGTGCCTTGACCATATCATAGTGAATTTTTGCTCGTCACAATGGTGGAGTTCTGCTGCAATATTCCTGCCTTAAACAACATCACTCAGAATCCTAAAATCACCGCATGGAACAGCTACCAACTGAGTATGAAGCCCTGGACTCTTACCATTTGTCATAACGCCAACGAGAAATTTCTTAAGAAACATTTCATTAACGTGGTTTCGGTTCCCTACTTTAGTGTCTTGCTGTGCGTATTTTGACCAATTTAGCCTGGATTTTAAATACTTGAATCAATTGACGGTTGTTGAGAAAGATAGGATACATCAAAGATTAATTTGGTGAAATGCAGGGAATCTAATGCGCAGCAAGCAGGGCGATGAAATGCAGATAGTCATAAACCACATGGGAGAACTGTCTGCTATTGCTCAGCGGTTACGTAGTCCCATTACCACCATAAGTCGTCTTTTGCAAAGCTTTCAGAATCTTTACCTTCTCACAAGCAACGTCCTGGGGAGTTCGACTCATATTCTTGCTCAAGGTATACTTAAAGTTGGTCGGAAGAATCTCTTCATTTGGAGAAACGGTGTTCAGCTTGTGGAGATGTCACCCCTTTGCGTGCTGGATTTTTATGTCCACGAGTCCTGCCAAAGGTGCTTATTTCCTGTATTAGATTACCTCCTAATAAATTGAACTATCGTCACCCTTCAGCCCACTGTGCAATTGGCGCCAAATAGAATCAGCTCCAAGATTTCCACAAACAAACAAGCAGTTGCAGCTCTCAGAGATTTATTTGCTGTCTGATCTGAGCTGTTGGTGATGACCAGGCAGGGGCTGGGTCACAAATTGTTCGAATTCATGCTAGAGCAAGAGAACAAGCGGCCATGCCAGCTTGGGTACGGCTTCCAACGTCCACTTCTTCCTTCCTCAACCTACATGCACATGTTTCTTTTCGATGTGTAAAATTTAAATGTTCATCTTTCCTTGCATATCACCTTCACATAAGATGACCTCATGTATGGGCTATATTGAGGGATGGGAGATAGGAATATCTTTGTTGACCTTAGCACAAAATGCTCTAAATAATTTGTCTTCCCTCTCGAAAACACTAGCGTTCAAGTTGTCTCTAACAATTGCTAGAGATGCGATCTATGTTCGTGTTCTTCTCCAAATCGCCACTCTCCCAAATTGCATACACATGCACATGCACATTTATTATTCAACTTCTACCTAATAAAACAGAATACATAAAACTGCAGATTGTTACAAGTCTCGAAGAAGATTGTTCAGTATTTACAACACGGCTGGTATTTCTTGTTTTTATGTGCAGGTATGACCGACCCTCCAGCAAGTTGCTCTCTTTTATGGCAAAGCACCACAATCTAAGTAAATACGAGAGTCAGGTTTTTCCTTAATCACATCTTGATGTTTAGCAAATAGTCTGATTGTGGATTTAGGTGAAGACGTATACGATCCTCAAGCATCAAGAATAACCAAATTATGTTCAAGCAATTGTTGCTGTGTTTCCTACTTTGAATCAAAATATTCATATACAATGAAATGAAAAAAAGGATGCTAACAAGTGCAATGTGGTGTTATCCGTTTCCATACGTTCCGTGCAGACAAACCAATTTGTAGTGTACGATAAATACTTCGAAGATGTGGACAATGGGGCATTGGGAAAGAAGGAGAATAGTGAGAAGGAACCGAACAGAATGGCCGTTGTTGGGAAAACGCCCAGAGAGGAAACAGACAGTCACGGCCGTTGGGCATGTCCGCAAGCATGTGATGCAGAAGAACCATACAACTTAAATCACCCTTCTAGAAGCCGGCTTGAGATTGGTGACGCCAAACCGAGTCTAGATCTGAAGGATACACCTCGGCAACCTTCGTATCATAGAGGAAGTACATGGCGAATCAAACAAGACAATCCAGAGAAAGTTTCATTAGATTCCCCTTCTATTGCAGACCCCCAGAGTTATCTAAATTCGCCACCTAAGACTGGACGACGATTCAAGAATGCCTACAGAGGGGAACAAAATGAACAGGGAAAAACTTTGCTACAGCTTCAAACTTCAAATCCCCGAAGCAGTGAACCGAAAATTTGGGGAGTTTCTCATGAAACTGCCCTTATACCTTGCAACAACACCTGCGGATACGATGCGTCACGTCAACATAGCGAAATGGGCGAGGAGGAACGAATGAGCATTCATTGTCCCTGTCCACCTGCAGTAGCGCATGAGATGAATGTCACACATGAAACTCGTTACGATCCCCAGCCTATCAAAACACTACCAAATGTGGGTCGCCTTGCTGCGAGGTCATTCACCAAGAAAACTTCAAAGGATCCACCCCTGTCATATCCCTTCTGGACCGAGGCCCAAGAGTTGTCCAGTTGTCAAGAGCGTGACTCTGTAGATTACAGGAGAAACAGGACTTTTTGTTAGCCACAGCAGGTCTGCTTTTTCTGCATTCAGCACTAAGGCCATTGATCAATCTACTAAACGTTGCTGTAAATGTTACTTGATTTGTCTCTCGTCATGGTTGCCCCTGTTCCAATGATTATAAGTTTTTTCGCAACAGGAGACTGGATATACGACACCGTTCACCGAGAATTTTTTGTTGTAATCCACTGTGTTACAGCTTTGTTTCGTCTACTTGCTTTCCCGTCCTTTTGCCTTTCTCCCTGAGGCCACGACTCTGTCACGGAAGTTTTGTTTTGGCAAAGATTTATAAGAAGTCACTTGACATTCGTCAGAGATGTTTCCTTCAAACATGATGAAATTAGTGACTTCAAGTGCACTTTGTCGCGTAAAATAGAAGCTATGTTCTCATCACAAGGCAGTCAATTTAATATTTTTATGAAACACAAGTTAGACTCGAAACGTGAGCAAAATTCAGGACTCTGCTTTCCCGATAGTATGTATTTTCTCAAGATTCATTGGTAGGCAGCACAAAAAGCCTGCAAAATATCCTCTCGAAAACTTCCGACTATAATCCTTTGACAGAATATCCAAGCATGCTCACCCTACGCAACAAAGTGCCAGAAACCCCGGTTTCATGTAAATATATCTTGTCTAAAACCTTCGCAAGCTTCAGCAGGAGATGTAACTGAGCCCTCCTGGGCATAGGCCGAAACAAGAATTGCCGTCGATGGAGTTTGCTCGGTAGAGAAGCACTCACGGCGGTGCGACTGATGAGGCACCGTGCCCCATGTCTAAAATTATTCATTTTCTGAGTGCAAGATTTGGAGATGCCAAAATCGTTCACACATTTTCTGATGGGAATTGCAAATGGCAGCATGAACTTCTCAATTCCAAGAGGCGGAAATAGCTTCAAGCCCACAATACATCCCAGTACAATGGAGCCTCTCCGCATCACGATCATGAGATCCATGCATGATGGCGGTGATGGCACGAGAGTGAGGCCGCAGTTAGCGTTGAAGATCTCCTTTTCATCCACATTCCCTTCCCTTCTTGACAGGAGATAGAAGTGCCTTCAGTGTCTCCGACTAGTGAAACTGTAAGAAGCAAAGGATATAGCTTGGAACAGAAGAGTACAAGTAGCAAGTTTGAGTACAGGAATACATATGTGAGAAGTCCCGAGATTTTGAGGCTGAACGGGACTGATTAAGGTAGATACTGTAGGAAAGAACGACATCCGGGATAGTGTAAAATCTCATAACACCCCCTCTCAGACTCATCCTAGGAGTTCTGAACTGCACCTCTCATTTCTACTTATACTGCAAAGTCGGATGCAAATTATTGAGCACCATCGTTAATCACCTTCCAGTAAGTAGTACAACAGGAGAGATGCAGCAAAAAGGTCAATCAGCTATGCACTACCAGTAGTGAATATGCTTAGAGAAGCACACTACAAGATTTCTAGAGCCAGAAAAAGCTGAGTTTCTATTAAGTGACTTAGAGTAAGGAAGTTAAATATGATTCTGATTCAAGCTTCTATCTCATTGACTATCTTCAAGCTAAGTCTTGATTTACAATCTTCAAAGTTGTTTCTTCCCAATGCCTTTTGTTTTAAATGTGTCTGGTTGTTAGTGAGATGTTCAAATAAAGCATACCTTGATCGTTCCACCTTCTGCCTGGAAATAAGCCAACTTATTTCAAAATTCTGTCTTTTCATGGATCATTAGATTTTTGGTCAATTTTATGCTGCTTTGGTTATCACATCATAGTGTTGTGGGTTGATTATTTCCAAATCCTAGTTCTCTAATCAGCCTTCTGATCCAGAGAACTTCACATGTTTCCTTTGCCAAGGCTATAGGCTCTGATTCACAAGAGGACCAAGATGTAGAGTTTTGCCTTTGGGAGCACCACAGTAACGGTGTTGCTCCAAGTAAAAAGTCTAGGTATTGGAAGATATGCAATCATCTAGATCATCATTATAGTCAATGTCTTTGAATCCTTGGAGCTGATTTTTTTCGTCTTTTGGGACTCTTATGGACATAGTCAATAATACTTTAAGTTGCTTTTGGTGAAGTTGATATAGATTGTGCATGAAGTGGCTTAACAAGGAGGTCAAAAAGCACATGAATCTTATTTAGATAATTGAACTTTTTAATGAGCCCTTGATACTCTTTTTCATTGATGAGAGGTGTAGCAATCTTTTTTATTAGAAGAAGATTGTAAAAAAAAAGTATAAAAGATTAAAAAAAAATAGTTAGGATAGTTATTTAGGATGGATTGACTATATTTTGTGTGATGAAGTAAAATTCTTATATTTGTTTATAGCACATTTACACATAAAAATTTGTGCGTAAGACCTAAATCTTTTATTTCAAATTTGAGATTAAGGTCTCATATGAAGACACTAATTCTACCTAAACCAAATCCAATAATAAGAAAATCATGCACATAGAATATTAGGATGATAGTAGAGTCACCTGTCTTAAAACAATAAATGTTTGAATTAGAAAAAGTGTTAATCATGCTATGTTGTCTTATAACATTAAATCTTGCTTGAGAATGCACCAAGCACTTATTTATAGAAGGTAAATTAGAAATTACAACAATAAGGTCCTAATAACTCTACCAAAACTTTAAATAAATCTCAATCAAATCTTAATAATCTCAATCAAATCTTAATAATCTTAATTAAACCTTAATAATCCTAATAAAATCCTAATCAAATTCAAAATAAGTTTTAAAAAATATTATTAAAAAAACATATAGAAATCATTAAAAATATTTAAAGAAATCATAAAGGACTTTACAAAAAATCTTAAAGAGATTAGAAATAAATCTTTTTAAATACTAAAAATAGAAATCTTAGAATAATAATAAAAATCTGTAAGAAATATTAAAAAAAAAATTCTAAAAAATAAAAATAAAAATATTTAAAATATTTAAAATAGAAAACTTAATAAAATTCTAATAAATCCTAAAAATATCTTAACCAAATCCTAATGTAGTCCTAAATATAATAAATAAATCTTAATAAAATCCTATATAATCTTAAATAAATTCTAAATAAATCCTAAATAAATCCAAATAAATCTTAATCAAATCATAATATAACTCTAATAAATAATAAATAAATATTAATAAAATTCTAAAAATATAAAATAAAATTTTAACCACATCCTAATTAAATCTTAATAAAATTTTAAACAATTTTTGAATAAATTCAAACCAAATCCTAAATAAATCTTATAATAAATCCTAATCAATTTTCTATTGTTGTTTAAAATCTCAATAACTATTTTTTGATCTCTTGATTTTTATTTTATTTTTTTACATTTCAATTTTCAAGCATAAAACTAACATAAAAAGTTTTAAAAAAATAAAATTTATCAATTGAAAAAAAGAGATCCTACTATTTTTAGATTTTGGTAGTCTTCTTTTTTCTAACCTACATGTTGATCTTCTAATATAAGTTAATCCTTGTTAAATCATTCAATTTTTCTTCAAATTAAAATAAGTATAAATAGCTAAGTCTATTATACTTTCAAATAATTTTGCTTCAATAAAAAGAATAAGTTTTTTAAGATTACAAAAAATCTCATTTATTCAAGATTCTATTCCAATAAAACTCTCATATTTTTTAATGTAACTATTCAATTGACTTCAAAGTTGCTAAAGCAAAAATGAACCATATTAATTTTGATTAAAGAATAGAAGCAAAATTTTCTTAATAATTAACTTTATATTCATATTCAAAACCTAAAGCAACTACAGAAGCTTGAAAGCAATCAATTTTGCTATGAATAATAGATTTAACTTTAAACATCTATTTTGTCAAAATTAGATAAAATTCTATTAAAAGCTTTCTAAACTTTAGATGTCATTTTTCATGATTGAGCTAAGTTTAAAATTCATATAAAATCTTGTATAAATTAATTATAAATGAGTGATTTACCACCTTTTTTTGAATACCAATAAAATAATTTAGAATATCAATGCAAATAAAATTATTATAAACTTTTGGAATACTTTCCATTAAAGATAAATACCTTAAGATATTTTTGTTATATTCATAATCAAGTGAAAGTAGCAAATAATGCAAGTTAAGATATTGAAGTAATTAGTGCTAATATGTGATAATTGACTTAGAATAATCAACCACTTAAAGAATCAAGATTTTGTATCATGGTAGAGTTGAAGATTTGTGCAATGTTACTAATTCATCGTGAGTTATTAGAGGAAGCTTATTTGAAGTAGATGAAATAAGATTGATAGTAATTATTTGTAGATTAAATAATAGTACTTGAATTACTAATAATAGTTATTTTGGAATATTTGGAAGAGATACCAAAGTAAGATACTTTAAGAAACTTGGATCTTTTGAGACCACAACCTTGTTTAAGACAAAATCATATATCTATATTTCTTTATTTTATCATCAAAGTTGAGATATAAGCAAAGATAAGATTTTAGATCTAATATACCTTGTCCATGCTTGATGTTACGAATATAGATAAATCATCTAAAGATATAGAATTTAGAATCTTCAATCTTTATATTAATAAATAATTTCTTAAAAGTTTTATTTCATACTTTTTTAGATTATCTTAAGTTAATAATATTAAAAACTACTAATTTTCATGGATATATACATGTAAATCAATAATTACCTATATGATTAAATAAAAGTAGGTAAAAATAGGTTAATTCCATAATATCTTTTATAAAAGCTTTTTAAAAGCTTTATGGATATTACTTTTATTTTATAGATATCTATAATTAACTTTTTAGACTAAAAACGTGGTCAATAAGTTAATCAAATGCCACACATGTTAGTAGCTTGAAGAACAAGCTAACTATGTAGTGCACATATAGAAAACTTTTCGTATAAGCTAAAGCATGTGTCCTACAAAGTGAACACATATTAGAAGTCTTATAGAATATCACCATATAGCTCCTAGTTAGATAGTATATATAGAGGCAAGAGTGAAGCCTTCTTCACTCTTATCAATTTCTTTCTTGCTTCTAGTCTAAATTCAAGAGTTTTTAGTTTCTTTATCTTGTAGCAATAGCCATTCTAGTTTCTTTTTAATATACATACTTCTTTATTTCTATTTTGTTATACTTATTTATTTACTTTCATCAAGTTCTTGTCCTTGATA